GGGTTGAGCAGATTTAATATAAAAGATATTATGTTGATATTGAGAGTTAAATAGTGTATGTGGGAACATTCAAAAATACTAGCCAGGATTAAAACAGGGATGGGCTATGAAAGAGAGAGTGCATGTAATTAACCAAAATATATGGTAAATTATTGGTGGGGGCTGACTAGCCATAAACACTTAGAAGATCAGGCTAGCTTTATTTTGAAAGGGCTATGCTGAGTAAAAGCTGCAGTAGCTCCTGGATAAAGAAGATGGGAGGATAAGAGAAGGGGTGACAATAAAGATGAAAAAGAGTAATGTGAGAGAGTTCAGTAGATAGATAGAAGATGTATTAAGATCAGAAAACTAGTTAGTCATAGAAATAGATCTAAACTTGCTTGAAGGTGACTTTACTCCTGGTACAAATAGAGAAACACTTAGAGAGTAGTGGGACTGGTAGTGTCAAAGAGCCCTATTGAATAGTGTTATATTTTTAAAATATTTAGAGTATTTTGGGGTGGTTATCTGTATTGTGTATAGTATGTGTGTCAATGGAAGTCTGTAAGTGTAATTCAGCCTTCTTGTGGCAGAGTAAAGATTGCCAGAGCTTATTAGTAAAGTAATGATCTTGTTGTCGTTGCTTCTTTTATAATCATTATACAGCTGTAATCTTAATTAACATTATTTTTTTGTCATTAATATCATTGTCATCATCATCTTTATTATCATATCATTTTCAGTCATTATTATCTTTTTCCTTATTTTAGTTGATATTAATGTGACTGGTATTATTATTGTACTCATTCTTCTATTGTTAATGTTGTTATAAACAGTATCATTGTTAATGTTATATTGTTATTGTGAATGGTTTTATTTACTTATGTTATGAATAGTCTGATTATCTGTTTTGATTATAACATTTTATTATTATTGATTTAGATTTTTTTTTTTTTGTTAATGTTTTTTATGTTTGTATAAGTAACTTATATATTATATCTCTATTGGAATTTTAAATAGAATCATTATCATCTGGTCAATGTCTGGTATAGGCCACCTGTATAGAGTTTGTGTGTATCACTGTTAATTATATAAATGTATATATAGAGAGACAGAGGTAGATATATATACAGGATATTTATTTATTTATTTATTTATATTATTTTTTATTATTATTTATTATTATTGTTTTATTTAATATTATATTATTATCGGTCTTGTTTTGCCTGCCCTCTGCACCTGCATGTTTGCCTTGTTATTTGGAAAGGAATATAAGGAAAAATTTTAAGTGTAATTGCAAGATAAAATTGTTTTTTCTTTTAATTTTAAGTGTTCATCATGTATAGCATTGCATTATTTGTTTAATTATACAATTTTTTCTCTCTTTTTTTCTAGTAAAAATAGTAGCTGTGGTCAGAGATGGCATTTATTTTTTAGGCTTATTCTCTAATGTAGGATTGTATTTTGCAAGAAAACCTTGAACGGAAATTAGGTTGTTAGTATGACACACTAATCAAAACTAGAATTAAGGATGATGATGTATTTTTAAAATTCATTTATCCATGTGAGTCATTCATTCTTTTCTTAGGATTTCTCCTTCTGTTGCTGAGTTTCATCTAAATTTTGCTGTTTTCAGCCTAAATAAGAAGGCTGTGTTTGGTGTTCAGTGAAATATTCAGTGGAATAATTAGCATATGAAGTATAAGTGAAAACAAACAATTGAATCATGTTCAATTTATAATGCTGCAATTACCTTGAAAAAGAGATTGTGTTTTAGAATGTAGAGACTGTCCTTTGAGAAATTAAAGTGCATAAAGGGGCTCCATTTGAATATATATATTTTTTTAACTGAAGCAAAAATCTTACTTTTGCAAATCTTACCTATTGTTCTTGCTTATACTTTAATTTCCAGTGGCCATCATGAACATGCGTGTTACATCTCTCATCTGTCTAAATCACTGTGCAAGCTCATGTTCTGTTCCTGCTCCAGCACCTACCATGCAGAAAGTGTAAAGAGCTCTGTGATCACACCTTTTTACAGAAACTTCACTATGTGGTGTTTTAGGCCATTGATTTCACAATATTTAGTGAGAACAATTTAAAGTCTTTCCATCTTTCTTGATAAATCAGTTGCATATCTCTCATTGTTTGTGAATGATGTTATTTATGAATGTTTAGAGTATTTTATAGTAGTGTTTGAGATATAAGAATCTTTTCATGTAAAAATTGAACACCTCATTATTAATCACTTTCAGCCACCTGTTCAGGAGTCAAATTGTGTCATAATGTAAAGGGAAGTTCAACTTCATCTAGTCAGAGATCGATTAAACAAGGGGGAGGTCATCCAAGCACATTGTACATCCCTGCAACTGCTTCTTTGCTTTTTAGGACAAACACATGAGTAAGGGAAGGGTTTCAGTTTCAAAGGTTTTGGTTTGTTGCATTCTTTTTTGTGATTCAAGGAGCTTGGACGGTTTTCAGTTTGCATTTTTTCCTTTGCACTTTGTTGTTAATGTGATTCCCCTCTTCCTTTCCCCCAGGAGCTGGAGGAGACATGGGTGGACGGTGAGCAGAGCACAGGATCAAGCGCAGCCCCTCCCCTGCATCGGCAGACATCACACAAGCATGTCCTCACCACTGATCTAGCACTTGAAGATGTTGTTAATGTTTGATTGTCAGAATTGTTATTTTGATGAAGGATTTTTTTCCATGTAACATTGTTTCATATTTTTCCCATTCCATCATAGATGGAACTACATTTGTTGCTGAGGCATAATAATGGTAATGTTCATTATGACAAGTGATGAAAAAATTTAATGTTATGTCATTGTGTGACTGGCCATACAGTTTCCTTTTCCAGTGAAGTAAGTGTAACTTGCTGTATTTTCCTATTAACGGATAAACAGCTTTCTTCATGATTGTAATTCATAAGGCTATGAAGGGAATTTTATTTATTGAATTTTACTTTGGTTTATATAGTTGTATGTAGTCTGTGTGGATAGAAAGACTGCAGAATCTACACAGCCACAGAGACATCTGATGCCATGATGCGATGTTGGTAGGATTGTTATGGTGGGACAGCAGACATGTGAGAAAATCAAATGCATTAACATCACGCTTGCTCTTCTGCAAAGATCATGATAGAGGCATTATGATTGGACTTTTTGGGAGATTAATATACAGCTCAAATTGTTCATACATTTGCATTTAAAGCCACATTTTCTCAAGTCTTCTAACAGGCTTTCACTATTAAGGATAATCCTTATATGTCTGTATAAATGTCAATATAGATAATGTATAGTCAAAGATATAGGTCACTGCCAGCATTGGTTATTCAAAAGGTCATTCTTGATGTACATAATAGCAGCACAAAATTTCTTGTAGATGAGGAATTGCATTTATAAATCATTATTTGTATGTAGGTTTCCCATCTTCCAAAGCACGGGACACGTTTCATTCACAATTTGTTGGTCAGTATGTAGATTATAGCTACTTCAATTTTTTAAACCTTGAGATTTTTGCTAGAATTGTGAGGCAATTTTCAGATAAACATTGGATGAAAATAGTTACAAATAAAACAAAAAATACAGAAATGAGGTATTACAAACTGATGTATTTTCTCTTTCTATGAAATTCCCAAGAAATTCTTATCAGAAATTTTGATCATTAAGTAGAGGAATTCAAAGTCCTTTTAAGGAATTTCTTGAGTCTTGACCTAAAGTTCTCAAAAGTGACTGTTTGGACTGCAATTGATCTTTTATTAATGAGCTTTTAACCATGTTAAGTTTTTAATTTTATGGCATTTGTTTTCTTTACAAATGCAAGTACTTGTTCGTGTATTATGACCGAATTGCATGTAATGTAGAATTTTATCATTGTTTTTTTACTGTAAATGGATTTGAAAAATACTTTCGAAAATTTTCCATATAAAGAGTTGCCAGGACAAAAATGAACTTGTCAGTAGCTTTGTTGAAATATGCATTTTTGTGCATTGCATTTTATGTTTACAAGCAGTTTGTGATGGTTATTATGAATAAAGCATCCTTATATAGATGACATGTTGATAGTTAGGTCAGTAATACAATTTGATTCATAGTCAGGATAGATTATTAGGTGATGATATTTAAATGTAATTAAGTGTTTCCTTTTTTTTTCTTTTTTTACAAAGAGAAAGTATTAAGTGCAATCTGTTTTATGTCTGCAATTTATAAAGGATTTACTATCAGTACGTGGCTTGCTGGTCACATTGTTTGTAATGCTTTGCCTCAATCTACTGAACGTTGAAAGTGGACAGTGTACTGTGTGGAGCCTGTTATTAACAGGCGTGATATAAATATTGTTACTAAAGTAAGAGTTGTATGCTTGCTCTGTCAGAAATGCATTACAGCTTATGTACAGCTTGTTTTGTTAAGAAAAAAAAAGAAAAAAAAAGGTCTGTCAGAAGAGCTTTGTGCCAAGAAAGATTGCGAGAGAAATTTATACTCCTCATTAAAGAGCTGCGGATGTCTTTTTATGTCTTGACGTGTTATGATTGTGATTTTCTGCGCTGATTTTGAGGGTTCCTGATAAGTGGATGATGATAATGATGATGTGGTGTATCTGTGATGAATTTTGCTTGTGGTGTGACTTTATTTGGTAATTTGATTTTGACAGGCAGTTTTCGTTTGTTAGGGGGGCAAGAAAAAACAAAAAACTATATATTTGCATTAGCTGTGGAAACTTTCCTTCCGTCTTCTCCTAGGTTTTGGAGAATATACCATGTGAGGACAACTGTGGATTTTCAAGGTGGTCATTTGATAGAGAAATGTGTTGGAGGCTATTGATGAAGAGAAACTTGTTTTCTTTTTTCTTGCATAGTTTTTGTTTATATGGTAAGGTGTGAATGTTTTCTTTTTTCCATTTTTTCCAAGTTAGTAAAATCATTTGTGATCTTGCATTTTTTGCAAACAGTGTATGTGGAGAATTTTATGGCTCTTGTAACAATTCTTTTAATTAATGATCATAGTTTTACAGATTTTTTCTTCAGTTCAAAAATTTAATATTTAGATGGAGCCCCTTTTTGCAGTTGAATTTCTAGAGAAGAAAACTTTTAGATAACAAGGAGTGGAGAGTTTTCAGGCTTTAAATAAGGCAGTACAAAAAGGCCAGTGGCAAATGTTTGTTTCACAGTGCTCACAGGAGACAATACACTTTTGAAAATCAAAAAAATAAAAATAAAAAATATAAAAAAATATATATAGATAATTACAAAAAAAAAAGTAATAAAAAAATAATAAAACTGACATTTGTATAGACTGTAGATAATAGTTGATGAGAAGAAAAATTCTAAGCTTTGGTACCTTCCTCAAAAACCACCCCTAGTATTCCTTGCAGAGTCCACCGCACCTCATGCCCCTCGGAGACCCTCATAGCGTGCAGCTACTGTACCATTGTTTGATCCTTGATGTTACTGTGTATGTTTTTTCACACCTTCACCTGCATCGAGTAGCAGCAGATTTATATACATTCATCCTCACTTCATAATTCTATATATATATATGGTAATGATAATTTGATGAAGGTACAGTATTCTAGCAGGTATCTTTGTGAATTACTTTACTGTACACTACACACTCAAGTGTAATTTTCTTAAATCTGTTATTGGCTTTTAAAACGTTTACATCAAACAGGACACAAGAACTGTAGTGAAGTTTTTTCACCCATTTTGACAATTATTGTTTGATGTTTAGGCATAAAATAAACATTGTACAGTCTAATACCAGTCTTACAAGTCTCTTGTTAGTCATTAATTGATTTATTTTCATTTTAAAATCCAGCATAATGTCAGAGAAATTGTTGTAGTAACTTAAATCTTCTTAAGTATGGCTCAAATGTTGTGATTGTGAGGTGCAGAACAGGCAAGGGACGAAAGAAAAATATAGTCTGAACTATACATTTTATATGTATATTACTTAACTCCTGTTGATTGACACACAAGTGTAATCATTTTGCTGCATCACACTATTGAAGCTTAATTCAAATCAATACCTTTCGTTATCCTCATCTGCCTGCATTGCGAGAGACAGTGTGCGTGCCATGATTAGCTAGCAATCTGATTGTGGTCATTGTGAGTTGTGATAGTATCAAAGTGCTCCCATGTGTCTTGTGACTTTTTTGTTTTTATGTTCATTTTTAAAAGAAATTTTAGTTGCTTTCTATGATATGACTGGAGAGCCTATTATATGACCACAGGTTTTGTTGCATTAAGCAATGTTTTACCCTTGCAATGTAAATAATTAATTGTCATATTTTATATTTTACAATTATTCTACTGCCTTAATAAAACTTATTTCCTATGAACAGTGTTTTTTTGTTTGCTTGTTTTTAGAGGAGGGGGGCAAATATATCTGAGAAAATGAATGGTTCAAATGAATGGAATGCCTCCAACAATTTATTTAACAAACAGAGGGTACATTATTTCAACATTACTCTCAGGGTATCCTCATACATACAAACTATGTACTACAAGGTGGACATCAACTATATTTCAGATCTATTCTTTAGCCCTCAAGTTCTGGATTTAAAGTAATGATGACTGGTTCCAAAATTTGTCCAGTAACATAATAATTTCAGATTGGAGGAGACTGGAGCTACCAAACAGAAATTTTCACCGCTTTAGTGAACAATAATAAAGTAATGTATATACTTAGGTTCATGACTAGATAAATGAACAAAACCAGTTTCATATTTTTCTGTACTCTTCATATGATTGATGGCCTTTACATAACAGATACAAATTTATTCTGAAAATCTCAAGCAAGTTTTTTAGCATTAATATTATACTTTGAATAGCAATAATTTATTCCCCACTCCTTATTTATTTCTGGATTTTCCTTTTCTAGCGTCTGTTATTCCTCCTAGTGGGTGATTGGTATATCTGAACCAACTTCTTTTGAGGAAAGTTATGTTAACCCATATGATCCGGATGACGTGACCATCACATGAAAAAATTTAGCTTGAGAGGCAGGTGGCATGACCATCCATCATGGGAAAATCTGGCTGTCTTTGTGTTTGCTCATTGTTGTCATGGGGGGCTTAGGAGATGGAGACTGAATCCCAAGGTAGGGGATCACTTCTACCTTGGACCTCAGCCCTCGCCTCAACTAGTTTAGCATGGTCATTTCTTTTCCCCCATTCCTTTTCCTCTTCTTCTGTCCACATCCTAAAGTGTGCGAGCCTTGCTAAACTGATGAAAGGCTGGCTTTGTGTCAGTCCTGAACGGCCTTCGTACTTAGTTTGCTATTCCCTCTTTACCTTTTGTCACTAACAAACGAACATTCAGCACTCTACAATCTTGACATCTAACATATTTTGTCCTAATCATTGATGCATGTTTAACCTTTTTGCCATAATACTTTATCGTGCTGCTATATAACCATTGATATATGGCACTTTTATTTATTATTTATTCTGACCCATTACCCTTCTGGGGATCCACAAACATCGACTTATGAAAAACTTCCTAACCTGAGGGCTTTGCCCCAAGCTTCACCTTATCGGTACATTTTGAATACACTACTAATGACTTTATATGTTGATGCAGCAAAAATATTTTCAACAAATAAATGGGCCTAGGTGACATGAACTTGGTGGTGTGAGCATTTCGGCTGAAGGCAGGGGTGACAGAAAAGACAACACAAATGCACAAACCTCTAAGAAGGTGATTACACTCTATAGAAAGGGGCTTTTGCATTATTTCCATCAATAAGTGTGGAATGTAGCACCTGTGAGCCATGACTGGAAGAACACCACTTCTATTCCTAGCCGCCCTGACCAGCAGCACAGATTGTTTTACAGAAAAAAAAAGATAACATAAAAATTATGACAATATAATGTTACTCATTGTTGTTATTCTTATAGACTACCTAGTGAGATGATATGGAGTCTGTGCAATGAAAAGTCAATTATCATCTTGATAAAGTAAATTAAATAACAAATATGGACATTACCAAAGGGCAAAAAAGCTAAAAATGTTTAGGCATAAAAAGAGAAAATAACATTGCAAAGGGAAGGCATAGAGTTATCACCGCACAAAAGTGTTCAGGTGCGCCCAGCCTAAAGGTGGACACCTGTCAGCACAGCCGTTTACATAAGCATAATGCCTGTATTTTGGGCCACATGAGTGTCATGAAGCAACCGGATACAATGGGTTAATAACTTTATAAATATGATATTTCGAAAAAAATTGCCGAGACCATTTTATCTGTAAAGTTAAAGAAAAGCTATAAAAAACCACTTCTCTGCATTTATTCAAGCAGCAAGATCTGTTCCTGTACATTAATAAACAATATATTCTTTAAAATAGTAAAGTAATATATATATAAGGCTTGCAGAAAGCATAAAAATATACTGGATGGTTGTGCAACTAGACTAGCATATCCAAAAATGAGAAACCAAAAAATAAGTAAATGAATACATAAATAGAAATAATAATTTAAAAAAAATGATGATAATAATCACAATGATAATAACAACAACAATAATAATAATAATAATAATAAAACATATATAACTTAAATACTGGACATAATATAATTTTCTCCTGCAGTAAATATAACATTTTTTAAGTTCACTCCTCAATAACTTATTTCAAAATATAAAGCATTGATATATTCCAGTCCTTTACAAACTACGATGCGATATGTCATAATAATCAAAGGAGGCACAGAATGGCTGTCAATGGAGTCAGGCCACTTTCAAATTTTCCAATGACGTCATCCAGTCATAGACATTCTTGAGTTTTTACAATTATTAATGTTGAAATATGTACCAAATCAGTATGAATGATTAAAAACTAAAGGCCTGCTTTTTCAATCATTTTCAGTTATTACAATAATATAATGAAAACATATTGAAATAAATACCACATCAATATACATTTTGAATACAAGGACTTTTTACACTTAATTACTCACAGAAAGGAATTGGGTAACATGTGTTGTGATTTTAAAAATACTTGTATGAAATAAATATGTATGTCTTGCAGTAAAATGGAAACCTTTGTGTATGATCATATTTCCCATTTACCAGCAGCAGCAGTAGCAGGTGTTTAAGTCCAAAAATATACATACGCGCAGGACAAACACACATCACATCCGTCTCACTGAATTATTAAATAGTGTTAAACTAGGACAATTCAAATCCTGCTCCAGATGTTATGGCGTAGAGTAGCTTCTCTCGTAAGGTCTGCTGGTCCCTGTATTCTGGCAACTTCAGAAGATTCATACATGTGGATGCAGTTGGAAGGCGGTCTTCTGAACCCGATGGCTGAATGCAGAAGGCAGGCTGCAATTCCTGTTTTTTTTTAAGGGGAAAAATTACTGATCACTTTCTAAATAAAACATGGCAAAATCCAGGAAAAAAAAAAAAAAAAACTGACCATAGACTCAAAGAATTATCCATCTCCATAAACTAACCTTAAACCCTAGAAGTGGAGGACGTGAACAGCTTGTAACGAACTTGAGCAACTGTCGTTTCTGTCCTTCGTTGAATCCTCGCAAAACTTGCCAGAATGCTACTATTGTTGGATGCTCGGTATTATATGCACCTAGAAAAAAAGCAATGCAATGAAGAGTGGCTAATATATATATATATATATATATATATATATATATATATATATATATATATTATATATATATATATATATATATATATACAGTAAATCTATGAAAACTCATAGGCAAATAAATATTTACAATCTAGATTAGACAACGTTACACAGAGTAATAGCAATAAATAAAAAGGAATATCAAATTAATTTCAAAAAGCATTTCTACTTGGAAGATGGTATATGTTTTATTATCTGGCTAGGTCTCTTTTCATCTTTAAGTAAATAAAATAAGTAAACCACAAATATCAAATAAGTCATATAAATAAATTTTCAAATACAATTTATATTTCTGGCATAAACAGTTCTCAGTGCTACAGAGAAACATATTGCATCCATAATAAACAAATTCCAGTCCTACCTCCATATCTAGTATTGTCCATCAAGTCCTCTAGGTCAATGGGAACTGATGCACCTGATATTAACATCTGAAGTTCCCTCCAATCAAACATCTGTAGCCACTCAAGGGGTACAACATCAGCCAAACCTGTTTTAAGAATACACCAAATGAGAACATAATAAAACATGAGTCTTACTAATGTTGTTGGGCCTCACTTCTTTAAATTCTATTGTTTGCATTTTAAAAAATCAATTAATATTACCAATTTCTCTTAACCCTAACTAGTCTTCTTAAAATCTATAATTAATTAGGATGGCATCTACCATGCTTTTGATAGCACTGTTTGGAGATATTTTAGAATGCAGATACCTCAGCATCCAAGACTTAATTAATGGAGTCTTAAATTAATTAAGTCATTAAAGACTTAATTAATGGAGTCTTAATCACTCCTCTCTGACTTAGATGGTACTGGGCATTTCAGTTTTATATATGCTTTTAACTACAATCTGTAGGCTTTGGAATATATTGCCTTCAGAGATTGTAACATCTCCAACTCTTGACATTTGTTTACTACACAAATAGCTGATGATTTTCCATCTTCTCATTCTTTCATAGCTGTGTTTTGACCTGCAATGACATCTTCGTAAAGTGACACCAATGGTTAACATCATGATGGTAACCCAGATTTTCCACTTTCTATGGCTATCAGTGCCCTATGCAACAGATCAGACTGGGCGGCCCACCACCTTAAGCCACAATATTGGGTTAGGGGGGTCACAGGTCCAGAGAGCTTTTAGTGAGATCCTCTCAGTTTTGTTTTCCCTTTCTTCAAATGACCTATCAACTCTCTCTAGAAACTTTGTGCACCCTGAGATTCTTTCTTAAAAGAAGTGGTATGAAACGGCTTCATGAACAATAGTATATAAAGTAAGGCTTCCAATATTTAAAGTATGAAGTAGACACTACAACAGAATATACCTTTCTTGAATGCTTGTATTTGTTTTGCTATTTGTTTGTTGAGTTTGTAGTCTGCCATCCGGTATATGTATTCAATTCTGTTTTCATTGGTCACTGCCACATTTGAACCATTTGGGATTAATTCTTCAATCTGTAGAGAAAAGAATTGCAGCATCTATGAAATCTGTCACTAACATACAACATAACAATGACCAGGTACACAGTAAGGCAAAGTCACAAATAAGAGATCAGGTTACAGATATATAGAATCATTGGATTATGCACAATGGTGTTATGAAGTATCATTCCATACATTCTTTAAAAAACATAAAAAAATGTTTGGGGCATTTCCTAATGAAATTTCAGAAGTATAGGCTTCAACTCACAGTATTTTGTCCTAAATCAGAGTTTAGAACAGTGAAATCCAGTCCGAGGTCCTGGACATCCCCTTCGTAAGTCTTCAGGTACAAGAGGTTTCGACAAAGTTCTGGGTCGAGGGAATCCAGGTGATGGAATTCCACTGAGGATGATGATCTCCCCAAAATTTTAGAGACGAAGAATCCTGCGAGTGGAACTTCAACCAAGAGATTCTCATAAAGAGCCTGTTGGAAAGACAATTTAAATTTAGGAAAATAATTGTTATTTTCTAAGTGAAGTACAATAGATAACAATTAAGGATATTAATATTGAAAAATGGCTACAGAGATTAAAATACTAAATACAATACAACAACTATGCTGAAATTCTAGTACTATTAGGTTTAATATATACTTAAAATGTTATCTTAAACATATTATAGGAAGCAAAAAGCTACATAATGCTATTACTCATCATAAACAGCGGGCAACTGTCGCTCACCTTTCCTAACATCCTACCAATGAAGTAATAATGAGTCTGATAATCTTCCGCTATGAGATGTGATCCTGGATTTGGGTAGAGAGTATTTTCTCGCGTTAAAAGGAAAAATCCTCGAGTTGGGTCAAAGGCGGTCTTCAAGAGTTCCGACAAAAATTCTCGAAAAATGCCACCACCATCAATGCCCACCTCGTCCAAACCAACAGCATTCATGAGACGGACTCTCATTCGTAGGTGCAAATCTGGTTCTGAAGAAAGGGCACTATAGTGTATAATGAAAATAAACTTTTTTTTTTTTTTGTATTCTTTAATAATTAAAACAAAAATTACTTAAGATAAAAATTAATTTTCTAAGATGAAAAGAATATCATTATCTTTCAAATATGCAGAACACATATAGAAAACATATGTATATATAAACTGAAGATGTTTACCATTGCTTGGTGATAACTTTTCAAAGGCATCTTCATAGATATGTGTTCTTCTAATGGTCACATTAATCATAGGCCCTTCATTGAAGTCTGCCCTCATTTGGCTCCTGCTCCTATTGTCAGCTACTAGGTTGCTGAAGACCTGTGTTCGAGACTCAAAGGGGATCACAAATGGAAGTTCTTGGAGGATGGTTGCCCGGCGCTGCTCTGTTATTGACAGCGGTGGGCCCTCAGTCTCTGTCAGGATAATGGTAATGATACTAATGAGAACAATGAAGGGGGAATGTTTGCAATACTTCTAGAAATGAACAAAAATGATACTGTCCAATATTATCATAATTTATACTGAGTGAACATCCAAATACTCACCTAATTCATCTCTAGTGAGCCATCTCTGGGGCATGAACAATCTCCTTTGTCTTCGACTCGTACGTGGTACAAAGGACACTGTCTGGCAGTTCCCAAGAGGCAGTGACACACGGGTGCTCAGCCAATGTCCTTTCGGACAGAACATACGTCTGGTATCTCTTAAGTGTATTTGACGGACCACTCCTACACACACCTGATGAAACAATGTCAATTCAAGTAATGCATTTTAAAACTTAAATTCCTCCTTAGTAACTGCTATTACTTACTGTGAAACTAGCTTTACATCACATCCTTGCATCTGTATTTTGATGTTGACTCTACTTTCAAAATATGATTTCTAAAACTAATCATTTTGAAGTTAGTACCACAAATACTAAAAAAAAAAAAAAAAAAATCCTTTCTCATATTTGAATGATCTAACAGAACATTTCATAAAATCTGGAGAATAATTTCTCTTCATTATAACCTGCTCTTGATCTATTCTGTGAGACTACTTGAAAATAAAATAATTTTATCTGAAAGCCAAATGACTAATCACATGAGAAGACTGCCTTGTACCAAGCAATGGAATAACTCAACAAACCTTAAAGCAATGTGCCCACATGGTTTTATACGACGTGTCTGTCAAGGCGGACATTCTCACGTCTGGATGGGCAAGTTCCACGAGCCCAACACACACATCCCTGAGGCTTGCTGACATCTTGATAAGCTCCTCCACAGTGAAGGGGAAGTGGTTATCTGTTGTTTTAGGAAATCGCTGCTCACCCGTCTCATCTGGTATTACGGAAGAAAATATACATTTAATACATTGTTGATACTACTAAAATCAAGATGTTAAATATCTATACCTACAAGTCCATGTCATGACTTCAGCTGTGGGATAGTACTGATAAACATTTCACATATGACAAAAGTAAATACCTTGGTCGCCAAGGAACTCGGAATCATGGAGAGTGGAGAGAACAGCAGTCAGGGTAGCACAGAATGTGGAAAGCAGTGGGATGAGGGTGTCACGCTCATGTGAAGCTAAAGGGGTACCTCGTGCCAGCACTTGCAACAAAGGTGCTCCTCGAACACCTGTAGAATAGATGAATGCAAATGCACTGCTAGATATGAAGATTCTAACCAATGATGGCAATCAAATTATATAAATTTTATGCAGATATATAATATACATATTTACAGAGTAATTGTAAGCTACTCTGTGAAAGGCAACATCATTTCTATATCTAGGCCCCTGTGCATTTTTAATCCTTGTCATTCCATTAAGTAAAAATACAATAATTCCATCAATTTATAACAGAAAAGTAAATGATAATCAAATAATATATAAATAAATAACAATGGCTGATGTGATATTGACAATGAAAATATTCTCTTACCAAACGTCCATGTGGTAGTGTTTGCATTTCCAGGCAGGGGTGCTCCCTGCTGAAGGCCAGAGAGAACCACCCACATGGACCTCAGGAGTTGACGCCGGGCGACCACACTATACAACAACCTGCAGGAATTTGTGGAATGAAAACCTCCAGGGTGGTGTTGAGAACCAGAATATCAGAATAAAAGTCTATGATGTAGTGTGTTTTCTTTGATTTTCTGACATATAAATTATAATATGTCCTAGACAGACACTAAGCGTAAAGGATCATCTCCTTAGGAAAATAATTTCTATATTCACACCATCATTTAGGCCTTCCTACACTTTACAAGGGGATTGAGGCTAGGAGGAAAATCATACACTCCATGGCCACTGTGATTTTAGTTTATAAATTTCCACAAGTACTTAAGTCATCAAGGAGTCTGTTACTGAACTCCCCTTTTTACCCTACTCCTATACATGTTGAATCCTAAAAATGAAAGAAAAAAGAAACAACAAACAAAGGAGGGAAGAAAGAAAGAAAGAGCATAAGCAATAAGGCCTCTGACCTGCACTGGTGGAGCTGCAGCGATGGTGCTGTCAAAAGATGATGAGTTAACCTTGAGAAATGGAGCAGCACTTCTGGAGAGACTTGTCGTTCCACATGACTCAATAGCCATCCAACATGTTCTGTGCTGTTGACTATGGTAACACACTCCTCTGCAAGCTTGAGCCACAAAAAAAAATCAGATATTATTTACAAGTCCCTTAAGCTACACACATCTACTTTGTACACAAACAAAAATGCCTTAGTAAAGTGAGAATACATGTATGCATGATCCCAACACTTCACTCAAAGTTTCCTCTTACCTTGCGCAATATTGGATCTATGGCTTCTGTTGAATCCATTGTGTCATCATCGTCTGAGTCAGAGTCGACATCATTCACTTCACTAAGGAGATAGGTGGTTGTTCCCCCTAATAAATCACTTATTGCTTGAAGATAATCGCACAGAGCATGTGAATCCGAGAAATCTGGAAGAAGTGGGTTTGCTTTTACTCTTACTGGTTTTTGAGTTGGTTTCTGTTACAAAATATATAATCATTAATCTTTGGGCTATTAACTGTAAGGAAATTCTTTTAACTTCCCTCCCTCAACTCTACATAATCTGAAAAACAAAAAATATTTCTCCTTCCCCTCAAACAAAATCGACCAACCTACCAGCATTCGATCGAACAAGCATGAGCAGAGAATAGAGCAATGGTGGAGCTGGACAAGCCTTCAAGAACTTGGATGATCGACTGCCCAAGACAGCTACAATCTTGTCTACGGGCAGTTTAAAGTTCTCTCTCGAGGCCAGGCAAGGAATGACATAGTTAGAAATCTGGGTGTGGGAAGCCTTGCCAAAGATTTCCTGGCACAGTTCGTCTATCACAGAAGACCTGAAATATCACATTGGAATGATGCGGATGTATATAACTGGGTCTGCAATTCTTCACTTGGTCAAATATTTGAACAATAGTCATGCATCTTTTAATTTCTAAATAAAGCAACTTCTCACAGCATTTTCCCCCCTAAATAATTGAAATTCACCACCTTTCTGTTACTAATCACTAATGATTTAAGTGCTTATTTATGTACAATATCAATTCACAAATATTAGCCAAAATCAAATCCACACAAGAGATAATATACTGATCAAGCTTTACATTTTGAAAGATGATCCACTAAAAACATGAAATTTACAACAATTATATATTAACCTAAATATAATAAAAACAAAAACTGTATCAGACTTACAATAATGTTGATTCATCTTATAATAATTATACATCAACTTAAATAAAAACAGAAATCTAATCACACTTACAATAATGTTGATTCATCTAGTGATAAAGCAAAGGACACTGGAGACAAAAGCAGCTGCAGGAGAGCATCTGCAAGTGCTGTGGGGGCTACGGGCGAGGGCTCATAAATATCAGGGACACGGGTCACCATCAAGTGTACCACTTGGTTATAATAATCTGAAAAAAATATGCAAATATGAGATAGAGTTTACAATACAAAGAAGAAATATAATCAATACACATCTAAACATTCATGACTTTTAAAAATTCAAGTTATGAATAATCAATATACTTAACTTTTTACACATTACCAAACAAACACAAGTTCCCTAGCCATTTACCTTTACTAATTAGATATGAATAAAGTGATAGTAGGAAGATCTGCTTGTTGCTTTCTGATAGCTTTGTCTTCCAACTGTCAGGGGACATTAGTATTTGCAGGAGTCTTAATGGAGATGCATGTGGCATGGCAGACTGCCCTGTGGTTAGAAAGAATATATATATATATCACATACATATACTATGTTACACTATACATATCACACTTTTAAAGCCCCTTGCTGGCTAGTGGCTAATATTTGCAGTGACTTGCCTGACACATGTACAGTCCCAATATTCGCACTATAAATTCAAATGCTTGGGATATCTATTTATGAATCTATTTTTCCTGTACTTTCAGAGTAAATAATAATAAACCTAGTTGTATCCATATGATTTGTTGGTGCGTATTCTCCCTACTTAGAATCACATTTTAGATCCCAAAAGATGTGAATACAAATTCTAAATCATGAATGATAAGGATATGGCAAGTACTTTTTCATCTGACATTAATGCCACTAAGATATACAATGGAAGACAAGAACAATATTACCAAGTTTTTACAGCTTTATGGTAGGCAGAAGTTTTTTCTTCACAAATGTATATCAATACATCACATCTATTAGTATCTGTTGTGCCTAACAGGAAAAAGAGATGGAATGGCATATTGCACAATGATATGACTGTAAACAAGACCCACAGAATTCAGGAACAATATCTGCGAGCTTTATTATCAACCATTAAATAACCAAGCGGTTAGCTAGAAGGCCTACATGATCTGACCTGTTTACCCTATTCCTTGGGTTTTTTGTAAAGATTATTTTTTTTTATTACTGATATGAGATTACTACTAAAGTTATAAAAATGCCATTAACAAAAACAATAAAATCAATAATGCTAATTAAGAACTAAAAAGTAAAACTTTGTTCCTAAAAACTAAAGGAATGGGGCATGATCAGAAAGACCTAGCAATTAACTTAAAGGAATTGACTAAGCATATATGAAGGTAGCTATGGGTAAATTATTTGGACAAAACACAACTAAAGTGGAAAGTGTATGTACTTGTCAACTGTGGGTTAAGTATTATGAAACAGGCACCCATTTTCATCACTACATTTAACTCGCTCATAGTGATAGCAGCAGTGGTGACTTTGCTATGAGGATATTGTATTTTATGATAGTCAGGTCATAGTACCACTATACTATAAACATGGTGCAATGCATACTCTAATAAAGAATGCATATATAATTTAATAAAACTTGTTACTCTCCCTATCAATAATGAATAATAAATAATACATATCAAATAAAGAATAACAATAATAATGATGATAATAACAACAGTAACAACAATAAAAAAAAACTATCATTAAAATAACACTATAAACAATACTATGG